GATTTTTGAGACTTTGCATTTCCTAATCTTTGAGTAGGTGCAGCCTGTTTGTTGGGTGGATTTGGGGCTTTTTGTTGTTGTTGTTGTTGTTGTTGTTGTTTTTTAAGAGTGTGTGTACGTTATGGATGTGAATAATAAAATAAGGGAATGACACAACTAAAAAATAGCTCAGAAATAAGAGTTCAGGAAAAAATGTTTTGAAACATAAAAAATAAGAATCCCAAGAGACAGCAGTAAAAGAAAGAATGATTTTAATGAAATCAAGGCATGATAAAAAGACAGGTATTAATGTACTACAGTATCTCTCCATCTCCCTTCCTCTTAAATCTGGCACGCAGGCTTGCTATATACTTCCAGGTTTATCCTAAAAGGATACTGGAGGCAGTGGAAGAGAGAAAGGAGAAGGATTTCTTAGAGAGAGAATGTTTTTATCCCTCTGTGAAAAGGAAGCAGACATGATCAGATAACGTTGCCAAACTAATCCGCTTCTCACTGTGCTTATTACCAGAGTAATAGGGTTAATTCTGCAGCAAGGACAGCAAAATACTGTTATTAAATGAAGAGAGGAGGAAGGACAGACCAACAGACACTATTTCTTATTTGACAGGCTCAGACAGATGCTGCAAAAAATATCAGCAGTAGCCAAGCACATGGGAGAAAAAGAACACCAACATCTTTATTTTAAGCTATTTTCTATGTAAAATATGAGGTCTAATTTTTATTGCTAACATGGGCCAAAGTAATGGTGTAGCCAGTTGAGATGCAATGGCAGAAATGTGTCCCAAATTTTGTGTCAAGGTCAAGGAGTCTCTCAAATAAACTTTGCCTAAAGAAAAAGTGTTTGCCCTGGCACTTGGGGCTGGTTCTATCACTGTCAGGACATGTCTAGAGCAGTGGAAGAAATAGTATGAAACTCAAAATGTCAACTTACTGATGATTTAAATATTATTCCTTCTGCTTGGAAGAAAAAAAACTCATGCAGTTTTCTTGGAACAGGCTGCAGAAAACAATCTGGAGTGCCAAGTGCCTCTATCCTAAGGTTACAGAGCAGGCCAGTATGTCTGGGAGATTTTGTAAAAACCCCATTAGCAGAAAGTAATAATTTTCTGGGTGTTGGGAGTGCTGTTCGATGCTGCCATGTTCTTGATCAAACGGATAATTTTATTGGATTGTAAAAATCTACATGTGCTTCTCCGCAAAAGATGAAATGTCATCTCCTGCAATCCCTGGACAACTTACAATTTATCTATTTGCCCACTAAGTTATGATGATTATTTTATCATAAGTCTCATATAATGAGACTTATGGGGGTGGTTCTTGGAAACCCAGCTTTCAAAGACCTGTGATTATATAAGCATTTAATCTACAATGTATTTAAGAACGTTATTGTGTTGAAATGATTGAAAACATGAAACCTAATAAAGGAAGAAGGAAATAAGCCAAGATCAATCTTCCTAATGCATTTTTTTTTGTGCTTGGAATTACTGAATATCCTTGAATAGCCATTACTGATACTATTTCTCACATTTTAATGAATAAAACACAGCTCTCTCAGCAGCTACTGTGGTGAGATGCAAAAACAGAGGAATCTTTTTTTACTAAATTTTAGGCAAAATGTACAATAATAATAATAATTATAAAATTAAACACTTAAAAATTCAGGATGCTTTGAGGCAGAGATTTCCTCTCCCCCAGCCCACCAGCTGAATAGCCACACATACCCACATCACTTTAGGTACCTGCAGAAGTTGCTGGGCTTAAAACCACTATACATAAACTCAGAGATCACACAGATGAAATGGCATAGCTCAAGCAGTCACCAGACACATAGCAAGTTGTAGAGCTATTTAGCAAACCTGGAGTCTTCTTTGCTTAGCCCAAAAATTGTACACAAAGTTCTGCAGGCTCCAAAGACCAAGCTGCCAGCAGCAGACTCAGCTATCAGAATTTCTCTGTCTTCAGTGATCTCCTTGCCTTGTTCCTGCCTGTAGTTTCTCAAGGTCAGGCTCAGAGTAGTTTCTGTTGGATTGCTCCCAGATTTTTGCCTCAGGCTTGCAAGACCATAGTCCTCAGTCTAGCTCCATGCTAGAATGTGATGAACCTGCCAGCTCCAGCAGCCTGCTATCCTGCCAGAGACATCCCTCCCATTCGTGGTCCCCATTATGCTATCAGGCTTGATGGAGTTTACACCGTGTGTGAAGAGGCCCTGCTCATTCCAGAGCTGTCTGGGCAACAGTCCTGCTGACAGCATTAATTAACATCTTTCAATAAAATTTCAGCACCAAGAGTCTACTATTGTCACCAGTGGTGATGAAAGACATTTAACTGAATGACATCATTACTGCAGACTTGCTTACCTGGTGCCCATGGGAATGCTGCCTAACCATCCTAGCAGAGAGCTTTAAGCACTGGCATGCCAGTGGAGGCGAACCAAGCCCTAAGACAAGCCTTAAACTCATCCATGTTTTAAAGAAAGCAATGTTACTGCTGAAGGAGAGATCCCAGAAAAACACTGCATTATCCAAGTTGCACACAGAGTGACTCTGTTTTCTCATGTTAAACAGCAGAAAGGGGTAGGTACCACAGGCATGTCAATACACTTGGATATTCACTTGGGGGTAAATAGTTCAAATAACAATGCAGAAAAAAATATATCTTACTACATTACCAGGGCAACAGTACCTTAGTCCTAAAAATAACCTGAAAGAAATAAAGATTGCTACTGGGAAAACACCAGTCCCCTTTCACCCCTGCCTTTGAAAAGAAGTGGTGTTATATTTTTACACAACTTCTTTACTTTGTGTCAAAAACTTCTGTCCCCTGAACTGAGAAAGTGACCTCTTCTGGGGAGACACTGCACTCAGTTTAAACCTGAGCATTATAGTCTCCTGTCAATCACTTCTTCCATCTCTAGAGCAATGATTTTCTACAATAACCTTGTACTTGAGTCAATCCATTCTCCGGTTTTCACCAGATTGCATTTTATCCCAGCAGTTTCTTGAGTGATATATTTGGTATCCAGAGGAGGTTCTGTGCTTTCTATTCCATTGACCCAGAAGCAAAAATCACCTGAAGTTCTGCACAGCCCCAGCTCCCACACAAGGTTTGTTATAAACCACCCAGCTGAACAAAACATCCTTTGCCACTACCAGTATAGCAGTAAACCATGAATATTCATGAATTATTGCCCTGGTTTTATGAATTATCTCGATCATAGCTTTTACATGTAGCCTTGCATATGTGCTTCACTTCTGTCCCTTCCAGCTATATTCTGCAAATACCTATCCAAAAACCTCAGGTGGTTTTTGCAAACAGGCTGTCAACGTTAAGCTGATGAAAGAGTGCACTGATTCAGAAAAAGGGGCGTTTGCTCCAACGCACAGTGCTGTCTGCTGACACTTGGAGCATGGAGCTATAGGGAAAAATCACTCAGAAGCAATGACAGAAAAGACAAACTCATTTTGATTCACAGTTGTGTGGGAGTTAAGCCAGGACCCCAGCTTCCTATGGAAGAGTTTCCATCACAGGGATTTGGAAGGTGCTGCTTCCTCCTGCTTTGCCTCTGGGGAAAGATGTGACTCCTGCAGAGAGCAAGAGGCACTTTGGCTTAAGCAACTGCATGGCTTTTTTAAGCTGTTGCTGCTGCTGCTTCAGCTGAGATCACAGAATCACAGCAACCATAGAACGGTTTGGATTGGAAGCAACATTAAAGAGGATCTTGTTCCAACCCCTCCCTGCCATGGGCAGGGACACCTTCCCCTAGACCAGGTTGCTCGGAGCCCCAGCCAACCCAGCCTTAAACACTTCCAGGGCTGAGACATCCACAACTTCACTGGGAAACCTGTTCCAGTAAAACTTCTTCCTAATATCTAATCTAAATCTACTCGGTCTGAAGCCATTCCCCTTGTCCTGTCACTACATGCCCTTCTGACAAGTCCTTATATAAAAGATGAGCAGATATTTCAGCATTAGCTCAAGGGTGCTGGGGAATGAAGGGCAGCAAGGGAAAACCTTTGAGTGCAGGTCCAAGTAATTTTTTCACAAGGGGAAAGATCCATGGGGCAAACAGGAGCGGTTGCATGAAGCAGCATTCAGGCTGAGGCTGGGGCACTGCTGAGGGACCAACTCATGCTGGTGATTCTTCTGCATTTTTTGCTGAGTGATAAAGCCAGCCATGGGATCTGGTCCCACCCCCACAATTAGCTGTGTCTGAATAGCACTGACAGGTCACACATCTCATCACAGGGAGTTGCCACACCACTGCACAGCTCCCTCAGTGTGCACTCCTGTATCTGTATGTATACATACATACATATTTAATATACATATTTATATACAATCACAATATGCACAGTATGCAGTGTGTGTGTGTGTGTGTGTGTGTGTGTGTGTGTGTGTGTGTATTCAACTGCAACTGATCTGTAACTGATCCTTGTATCATAAAGCTAAGACCTCAGCACTTGCCAGATTTCTCACAAGTAGTTTACAGAGAGAGCCCAGCTCTACCTTGTTCTACTCTGGCACAGGTTCAGCAGGAGGTGAGATGCTCGTAACGGCCTCCTGAGTGTTGTGGGTCTCTGCTGTGAGGGAAGAGAGAGGTTTGTGTCCGAGGACGGGTAAGAAATTCACTAGGAATTCATCTGGGGTGTTTCTGGCATCTGCAAGGGAACAAACTGAAATATTTATTAACTGAGGAAAGGTTAAATCTGAATCAGTAAAAGAGAGAGTAAGTTTAGGCACCAGTACCGCTGACAGCTCTTTACCATTCCCACTGGACTGATTACGTGTAACACCAAACAAAGGCGGTGCTGGCAAGTGGCCGAGCACACGGGTGGGTGCCCGGTCCTGCCCAAACGAATCTCCCCGCACCTCGAAGCGCAGGGTGCACAAGCCCACGGAATACCCCACGCGATGCCAGGGAACTGCCGGGGCCGGGAGCGCTCCCTCCGGACCCGCCCTCTCCCGCCGGCCCGGCCGCCTCTCCGCCCCGCCTCGTGGCGTCGGGCCCATTCCCTGCGCTCCGGCTCCTCCGCCCCTGCCTCCATCTCCATCCTCTCCGTGTCCTCCTGCACAGGTGGGTCTCCTCGCCTCGCCGCTCCAGCCGCGATGCCGCCGCGCCCCCTCGGGGCCCTGCCCGGGGCTCCCCTGCTCCTCCTCCTCCTCCTCCTCCTCATCCCGCTGCTCTGCGCGGCCCCCGGTGAGTGAGCGCGGCGTGCGGGATAAGGGGCTGAGGGAAAGCATAGTCTGGCACGTCCTGGGGAGCGGGAAAAAGCCTTTGCCTGGCATTCCACGTGGGGTAGCACTTTCGGACGCCCCAAAACTTGTGCAAGTTGGGCATCTTTTTTAAAAGGTTTGCCAGTGAACTAAAGCATTTCGGAGAAGTCGGGCGCTTGCAGGTCTCCTGTTGCGCTGCCGGATCGTGGGTTAATGCCTTGGGGATCAGCAGGATGAGTGCTTCGATGCACTTTGGGGGCAGACTGCCAGGCTGCCAGACAACTTTGGAGCAGTTAGCATGGCCCTCACCCAGTGACCAGGGTTTCGTGCTGCCTCGGATGCTGGTACTGGCACCAGCTGTGGTTTTCTGATGAAAAATATAAATTACCTGGTGAGGAAGGCCAGTATCATGGTTATGTTGCCAAGAAGATCTGGGGAGGGGATGCTGGATTGTCAGAAGCTTCCCTGTGGTATGTGTTGCGCTTAAATGTGGAAAAAGGAGCAAAGTGAAGCGCTGGGAGAAACTTGTCTCTTTTGCCTGTTGATCTGGAGCTATGACAAAAATAATTCTGGTATTTTTTGAGAAATAATCTTTATGTTGTTATTTCCTTCTCAGTAAATGCATGTGCTTTATTTTTATATGTCTAGATGTTCCAAGGGGAAATAAGCTTAAACTGATGCTTCAGAAACGAGAAGGTAAGTAATGAAGCAGCAAAATGCTTTCCTTTATTTTTCCTTTGAGTCAGTTGCTGTCAGCTGAGGCTGCTGCTGTGGTGTCTCGGTACCTCCAGCCCAAGGAGAGCACATGGAGCAGCAGGCTGCAAGCACACAGCCACTTTCACTACGTACCACACCAAAACCCCCCACTTGGACAGAGCCTGTGCCTTCATGCCTGTTTGGGACCTGGTATGGGCCAGGCTCTGCTTACTACAGCCCACTCCCAAAACCGGGGTTCCCAGCCTCCCTTTTCCTCTGTGCAGTGCACAGCACCCACCTTTCCCAGTGTACGCATGGCAGACGTGGCATTTATCTTGTTCATTCTGGGAAGTCACAAGCTTTTCTGAGGAATTATAATGCATGGAAATTGTGCTGGCTCAGGCACAGAGAAGAAAATGTGCAAACCTGGCTTGCTTATGATGCCTTGACTTGTTCTTTTAGTCTTCTTGGCCCCACATGTGCTTCCTCTTTGGAAGACTGCTTTCTTATGGAAGAGATGATAGGCCCAGCAGTCAAATGCACAGAATGGCTTGCTGGTTGAGGGAAGGGTGTGGAAATCATGCCAACTGGGAACAAGCAGCACCGCAGCAGATGAAATATCCCAGAAGTTTTGATCACCTCCCCTCAGCCTGCTCTATTGCTGAACCAAAATATTTATACCGCCACAGAGGGGACTCATTTTCTGCAAGCCTGCCTGATTTCTCACTGTTTTTCTTCTGGCACCACCTGCCCTAAAATATGTATCCCATTCACATCTGTTTTCCTTGTGTGCGTGTTCTCTAGGTCACCGTTCTGCAGTGTTTGCGTGCAGACAGGAGCCATCCACACCCTCCCTGCTCCCCAGCATTAGGCCACTTGTTTGCTGGGTTCCCCTGGGACCACCAAAGGGGAAACTTTTAGAGCAAGCAGACCACATGGTTTAGACCAGGAAGAACTGCAAAGCCTTGAAGGAGGGAACGTGCAGCCCCTTTAACGTCAGCCTTGCTCCCCTTTTCTGGTTGGTTTCTAAAGTGAACAGGCCAAGAGCACGGTACTGCTTCCCTTGCTGGCAGTGTCCCTTGTGCGAGGCTTATTCATGGGACATTTGCTCAGCTGTCCCTCCTCCCAGTAATAACACCCAGCTCACCCTGAGTTATCAGTTTCCAGCTCATCCTCGCAGGACAGCCTACTGTTTCCCACTCTTCGTGCAACAACTCATCTATCACTTTTGTCTCTTGAATCGCCTGCTCACTGCAGTCCTTTGTCTCCCTGAGAGTCCGACCAGCTCCTACTTCAAAGGTTTTCACATCTCCACTTGACTTCCCTCCCTGTCTGCCCCAGTCTCCTCCCTTGCAATCCCCAAAACCCCCATCCACACCCATGTTCCTGATTTCTCCCTCATTCCAATGAACACTGAAGCCAAGACATTTCTCCTACTCCCCCAAGTGTGTCTTGTTTCACAGGCAGATCAATACCGGGTTTTATCATTTCTGTGTGTGGCTGGGGGCTGGCCAGTCACAGAATCGTAGAACTGCAAAGGCTGGAAAAGATCTGTAAGACTGAGTCCAACTACTTACCCAGCACAGCCGTGTTCACTACTAAACCATGTCCCCAGGTGCTACATCTACATGTTTTTTGAACACTTCCAGGGATGGTGATTCCACCACTTCCCTGGGCAGCTTGTTCCAATGCCTGACCTTCCTTTCAGTGGAGGAATTTTTCCTAACATCCTGTATAAACCTTGCATTACTTGAGGCCAGTTCTTCTTGTCCCGTTTGAGTCCTCACATCCATACCTTTTGGGGGTACATAAATTCCTCTAGCAGCCACAGCAAACTGCCTGACTCTTAGGCATGGAGCAAGCCAGACAGGCACATCTGGGTCTCCCAGGCTGAGGACATTCCCATGCACCCACCACGCAGTGTGCTATGAAAGCCTAATGGGCTTTTATTTTCAGGCATAGAGGGCATTTAGTAGCACTCATTATTTCAAAGCTACTTTCTTACACAACAGATTTTAAAAATCTTTCTTCAGCCTGAAAAGTTAGCAGTGTTTTTCCAGCTTCCTCAGGTTTTTTAACTTCACCTGTCATCTTCTTTCCAATTTCTGCAACTGCAGCGCAGAGAGGCCAGTCTTCTGTTCTCTCCTCAAAGCACAAACACATTGTGTATATGCTCTTTGGGTGTATACATTTAAATTCCTCACTAAGCTGCTGTCTTTGAGCTCAGAACAGCTTTTTGAAAATCCAGGAGAATGAGGGTAGCTGAGAAATCCTATTACATCAGTGATTCCTGGGTTTATTACTGTACTCTGCTACAGTCATAGCACTGGCAAGCACAAAGGTGATGGCATGACGTGAGAAACATTTTCTTACTTGCTGCAAGCAGTACACTTCAGGCTGACCAAAAATTTCCTGGCATGCCTTTTGTGTGGGGGAATTAATTTCAGCCCCTGTTGCTGCAAAGCCTGAGGTGTCAGTGAAGGAAACGGCAGCCAAGGAGTTCCTGAGCAGCCTGAGACGCCAGAGGCGCCAGCTGTGGGACAGAAGCCAGCCTGATGTACAGCAGTGGTACCAGCAGTTCCTGTACCTGGGATTCGATGAGGCGGTGAGTATACGGAATGGTGAGCAGCATGGAGAAAAGGCTCCGGGGAAACCTCATTGTGACCTTTCAGTACTTACAGGGAGTTTATAAAAAAGAGGGAGAGCAGACAGTGATAGGACGAGGAGGAATGGTTTTAAACTAAAAAATAAGAGATTTAGATTAGATATTTGGAAGAAATTATTTACTCACAATTATTTTGTTACTTGTGCTGAGGCATGAGAGCAGGTTGCCCAGAGAAGTGGTAGCTGCCCTATCCCTCTAAGTGTTTAAGGCCAGGTTGGATGGGACTTTGAGCAATCTGGTGTAGTAGAAGGTGTCCCTGTCCACGGCAGGGGGGTTGGAACTAGATGATCTTTAATGTGCCTTCCAAGTCAAGCCTTTCTGTTTGGTCAGAAAGGCTTCTATAAGGGAGGGGTTTAGACTGAGCAGAGGCAAATGAGGATGCCCAGCCACGGGGGCACCCAGGGAGAGGCTGCCCTGCTTCTGTACACAGAGACTGAGATTTCTTCTTTTAAAGTAGTAAATGTCACACAGAAATATTAGCTCTCTTGTTAAAGATTCCTGCAAAATGTTATTAGCAGAAAAAGATTTTGTGTAGAGTTCCTGCCTGCTATCAGAGGTAAGCTTAATAAATTGCAATTGGGCATATGAACAAAGTCTGCTTTGAGAAATAAATGGCCAGACTCGAAGCAATCAATCGTATTTCAGGAAATTAATTTGTCAGCCTCAACCTAATCAGCTTGCTTTTAAACACGCTCAGAAATCCACACCACACTGGTTATGATTGCCATTGCTCCATGAAATCGCACTGTCATCACGTACCTAATGCACACATGTGCCTCCTTGGTGTGGGCAGCTCCTGACCACCACCTACACCAGCAGCTGAGCCTTGAATCCAAATGTGAAAGGAAAACCATTTGATAATATTCAGCCAACCTCCCTTCAAAAGAGAAGGATACATTTTTTAAAAACAGTTAATTTGTAAAAACACTGGAGTGTAATCAAGCTCTGCACAGAGCTCTACTAAATAGATGCTGAAATAAGGCAAAAAAAAGTGCCTTTGGTTGCAGTCCCACATGTAGCATCATTTCTACTTTTAATAAGGGATAAAAATAGTTATAGATGTTGAATTCTTGGCTTCTGTCAGCTGCATGAATATGTTTAATGAGATTGCATTGGAACAGGCAAGCTGGAGAACATTTTAGACCTTCATGCTATGTGGATTGCTTAGAAGATGAATGCACTCATTTTCAAAGCTGTAACAATTAGAAAAATAATCCTTTGCTTGAGCTGAAATAATGAAGGGTGCTTTTTTTAATTCTCCTGGACATTATGTGGATAGAAGTCACTTTTTAACAGCATGGCTATATCCCCCTCCATCAATAGGAATAGAAAAAAAAACAGGAAAAGTGTTTTATACATCAGAAACTTAAGACTGGGGGCAAATACCAAAAGTAATAAAGACAAGCCATGCAGAAAAAGTGAATTGTCCTCAGAGTTCCTGTGTGTATTTCAAAAACTGAAATGAGGCCTGTTGAGGGATACAATGAATCCACTTAGTAGGTTTGAGTATTAAGGCACAGTTTTAAGAATGAAATAACTGTTTGTTCCAGCAAAGGACTTGGGTCATACTTATCCATTGTGTATTTTGCAAAACTTTTTTTTTTTTTATTTTTCAAATCTCAGCCAAAAAAATATTTCCGAAGAGTCATTCATATGGAAAGGCTTTGGCTTGGCAAGTATCTGAGATCCTTGCACACTGTTTTTCCTCTGCTGTTTTGCGCAGAATTGGACTGCTTATTGCATTTCCATAGCTAGAAGGCTGCACTGTACCTTCATTTTTACCCATGCAAGGTGGGCGTGAGAGATCACAGACAGAAAGCAAAAGCTTGTTGCACCCCAGTCACGGACATAACAACTAAAGGCATGGGACAAGAGACAACTAAACCTTTAGATTTTTAAGTGCAAAACATTAAAATGGTTTTACAGTCCACCAATGACAAGGTAATAGAGGTATTACAGATGCTTAGTGCACATCTCAGTTGAAGGCATGCTCACATGCAACACTTTAGAGTGGGCAGAGGGTGTAGGGGTGGGTGGCAGGTGGGGTTGGGCAGGACAATTCCTGCACTCGGGATCCTGATAATCCCACAGAGAAGGCAAAACGTCTCGAAACCTCTTAGATCAAAAGATTTAATTTATGACAAATGTGCAAAGGATCCAAATTTCTACAAGAGGCGCTTGCACCACTTCTGTTTCATCTCATCATTGTAAAGTTTCAGACTGGAAAGCAAATGTCCCCCCTCCCCCTTTTTTTTTTTTAAATTTATTTTTATTTTTGGCAGAAATTTGAAGATGACATCTCCTACTGGACAAACTTAGGGCGTGCTCGTAATGAATATTATGGTGGGTACTACCAGCACCACTACGATGAAGATTCTCCAATTGGCCCACGAAATCCACACAGCTTCAGGCACGGAGCAGGCGTCAACTACGACGATTACTAATGTCATTTATCTTACTATAGCTGGTGCCTGTAGGGCTGCACTGGGCAAAAGTGAGTCCTCCCTCAGTCAGAATGACCCCGCTTTCTTTCTATTTGTGTCAAACAGCAAGAGTAAAGGAACTGCCAGACTTTGATGAAAGCAACGTGACTTTAACTACCATTACTTAGTAGTACACTATATATAAAGTGTTATAGAAATAAAGCTTTTTTTGATAAAATAAGCAGGTTGCCATTATTCAGTAGAGTTTGTAGCAGCAAGTTTAATTCCAACTGTATTACTACAGATTTCTTTGTAAAGGGCACTTTCATTTGCTCTCCTACAATCAATTGCAAAATCACATTATATCATCTACTTTGGCATATAGAATACATAATATAAGCCAGTATACTTAAGATGTGCCTGCTCGTTCAGATTTTTATCAACAAATAAATCCAATTATTCTTGGGGGAAAAGAAAAAAAATTCCTCTCAATTGAAGTGTTGCCTTGTTTCCTCTTCTGTTGTTTCCATACCTACTGCACCCAGCCTGTATGACATGGCACTTCTACAGCTCCTGTTGGGTCAAGGACAGATATTCACAAAAGCTAAATTAAGTGCAGAGGAACTCGCCTACCTACAAAGCTTGTGAAAACATTCTCTAGGGAATGGTCTCAAGGCATGAACCTGACTTCAGATGTAATTGCTGAAAGGCAGAGCATCTAACCTGAGTGGCCCCAACCCCTCCCAGACACGATAACCCGAAGGTTATCTTTGGTGAATATTCCCCTTTTTGTCCATTCCACTTAGCATCAAGCTTTCAGCTGAGCTCAAACCAACAAGCTAAGCTATTTAAAATGAAGTTAGTATCAGACAGCATCCAACACAATCCCCTGACATAATTTCCTACTGTGAAGTTCCCTCTACCTCCAGTTCAAACTGGAATGTATGTGCATTAGTCTGAGTATCAAAATATATCAGAGACTAGGCATCTGTCAAGGAAGGGTTGTTGGTGGCATCACGTATGTTAAGAACCCCAAAATACAACCAACTTTTGTACTACAGCAACGTCATCCATTATTGTAGAAAAGCACTCACGGAGATCTAAGCCTAGGAGGGAGATTTCGGCTGTCAGGGGCTTCAGGAGGAGCTTGGCAGGGGAAAGCACTGCTAGTTCTTGATAAATATAGAGGACTGGGAAGGGACAGGTGAGGAAGGCTGGCTCCATGACTTCTAGAATTGAAGAATCAGGATAAAGAGAGATGAAATGGTTTCCTCCAGAGCAGTCAGAGAAGACAGCCTGGATGCTTTAGCTGTCTGTCATCTGAAGCTTACAAGAAATTTCCAAAGCATGGATCATGGCAACACCATTCTTTACACTTCTTTCTTAACTCTGTTTCCTAATCTTCCACTTAAAGCCCTCACTGTGTGATGGACTGGTGTCTAGGAGAGGCAGCCCAGCACTATCCAGCTCCTTCCAGGAACGCTTCCAGGGAGATAGCTCTTTGCTGAGGGAGTCAAACGGAACAAACATATTAGTCACTTCTCTGCATTCACAGATACGTGCTAGCCTAACATGCTCCAAACCCTCAGCTTTCCCAAGGCTTGCTCTTAGCATCCTTGCCAGTTTAATTGATTTAAACTGGTGTGTTTCCTTGGTAGAAAAGCCTTTATTCCAAATACAGAATAATCCCATTCTGAGTCAAGCACAGACTCTTTTGCACAGTTGGAAAACACCTATTCCTAGAAGAATACTTCTATTTTGCATCCTACCAAAAAAGTGCACTGAATTTGGCAACATTTAAAGCATGCTGATAATTTCCATCACTTCCTAGAATTTACAACAACTGGGAATTCAGAGCTGCTGAATAAGGAAGAATTTAAAAAGTGATGAAAAAGATCATCCCTCCCTAGACCTTTGTAAGTTGTGTCCATTCCTGCAGGCTGACTCAGTCTAGCAGTTTTCTGTGCCTTGCAGGTTCACAACCAAGTCTATGATCTCTATCTTTTGAATTCTCTAAGAAAAAAAAAAAATCTTTTCCATTATGTTATGTTGTATGGTTAAGGACTGGATTAGAGTTAACCTTCTCCATAACAACACCTATGATGCCATGACTTAAGATTTGCGACTAAACGAGTGTAGGCAGAACACCGATGTTCTTGCTGTGGTTGAACAGTGCTTGCGCAGCCTCTAGACTGCTCAGCTCCCATGCTGTTCCCTAGCAGGCAGGCTGGGGGTGGGTGAGAGGTTGGAAGGGGGTGTGAGTGGGACAGCTGATCCAAAATGGCCAATTCCATCTGATAGAATGACTTGCCCAACACTAGAAGCTGGGAAGAAGAATAAGGGGGTAGGGGTTTTGCCTTCCAGGGTAGCTACTGCTAAGGGACAGGGTAAGCAACAGTCCTGTTTAGGGGAGATGGTGAGTAGCCTTTGCATCACTTGCATTTTTTCCTTTTTTGCTTCACTCATTAAACTGCTCTTACCCCAACCCTCAAGTTTACTCATTTCTGATTTTCCAATTCTCTCCCATGTCCCACTGGGGCAGGGGGAGGGAATGGCTGTAAGGGTACTTCGCTGCTGGCTGGGGTCACCCACCACAAGGCAAGAGCTCTGAGGAGAGGGCAACCTCCTTCCTGCAGAGAGGTGCACCTGGCTTGAAATGCAGCAGCTGCAATGACAAGAAAGCAAGCAAGGATGAGCCATCACAGGTTTGGGCAAAAGGAGGAAGACTATTGGGGAAAAAAAAAGTCATCAGATACGCATACAGTGCTTCAAAGTTAATTTTCTTTGACTATCCCAAAACAGACAAAACCCGTGCTCCCCCTCCCAGCCTTTCCATTCTGCTGTGCAGACTGCACAGAGCACTTCACCTCATCACCAACCCAGCCATCCCAGCACTGACATCACATAACCTCTCTCCACCAAGGCAGAAGAGCAGCAATTGTTCACTGTGGCTCCCTACAGAACAGGAACAGCTTGGCCATACTCCAGTGCTTCATAATTCAAGACCCAATGCTGCTGATGCCCCCAGTTTGTGGGTGTCAGCCAGGAGAATCCATCAGTCAGACTGACAGGCCAGTCCCGCCTCCTTTGCTGGCAATACCTGCCAGGTAACCCTTCTTCCAAAGCAAGGAAATATTACTGCTGTGTCCCCACAGCCACTCACACACTCCCCCAAGTCTAGACAGAGATCTTTCTCTCCAAATCCAATGCTTCAGCAGCAACCTTAAATACTTTTTCTTTCTTTTTTTTTTTATTTTTTTTTTTTTTTTTTTTTAGGGGGGGGCACAGGCCTTCATTCCCTTTAAGTTCCTATTTGTAACACAAACATGTTGAGAATGGGGGATTGGACACTTCTGTCCAAGGACCGTTTCCTGGCTGAAAGATGTAGCTTTCCTTGATCAAAACAGTGTTGTCTGCAGTGGGGTGGACAGAGCCCAGACTGCGGTGCTTGGCTTTGACAGCACTTGAAGGCCACTGTTGCCAGTGGCTTCATGCTTTGGACCTTTCAGCTGCTTCACCTATGGCATGGACCAAGACATTCGGAGGATCCCCATCCTTGTCAAAGAGCATGTCAGAATCTAGGGAAAACATAGCAAGAATGACCAAGCTGTTGCTTGTTTCAGGCTGTAAATGGCAACAAACCAAGGTGGACAAAACATTGCCACTTTGCTATTATCGAACGGGCAAGTGAGACAAGGAAAGGGACTGGGAAAACAGAACCAGAATCTAGTTTTCTTGCAAGAAATATGAATTATTTTTTCAGCAAAACCTCCCTGTTGATAGAGAATTGCATTCAGGAACCTCCTGCCGTACAGGAGTCCTGCTTTCCTTCAGAGCTATTGCTGCTCTTCCTGGTAGCTCCAGGGAGTCAGGGCTGCAAAGGAGGCATTCCCTTCTCCTGCCACTTGAGATCCCAGTACAGTGAAACATTCATAACAGAACAGCTATGTTCCCAGCAATTTCAGGGAAGGGATGTGTGGTGGTTACGGCTAGCAGGGTTGAGCACACAGTTCCCTTGCTGTTAACAAAGCATCTTCTTCCTGTGGACAGGTGGCCTCTGATCAGCCTCTAACAACCTTCAAGGACTTCTTAGCCTCAGGTAGCATTAAACTCAATACTAATAAGGCTGTGAAGTAGCTAAATGCATCAAACTAATTGAAGCCCCATTTTGCTCTCTGTAGCCTGTTCTCTAAGGCAATTATGCCTCTTTCAACTTTGAAACTCCATTCAAACCCTGACAAGAAGTGCAAGTTTTTTCAAATATATGACATCTCTAAAAATTTCTTGTAAAAACAGATGATTAAGACACATTCATAGATGTCCAGAGGGCAGTAAACTCACTGGCTACTAAACCCACTGGCATCTATATGGGTTAAGAGAAGCTGCAAACACCTTATAAACAGGGAAACTCTCAGATCATTATGTCCCCATATAGCAAAAAAATCTAACCTAAAGATAGGCATGATGCTTCTCTAGATTATACAGTCATGGAACTACTTAAATTAGGTCTGCAAGCCCCACAGTAGCTTGCTGTAGACTAGCAATGTGGCTGACAATGCTTCTGCACAGCCTGCATAAAGAAGTACATAATGCTTAAAAAAAAATAATAAAATCCGACTGAGGATATCATGCTTCAATAACTTCCAGCACCAAGAGTGGTCCTTCTTGTGAGGTTCAAGGAATCCACAGCAGTGGGTGCCCTGCACACCTCTCATTCTAGAAGGCTGATCTCACCAAGCTGGCCAATTCACTCTGCTGCATTGTGTATTTCCTAGTGAGACCGGAGGACTTCCATCTCACCCCAGCTGAGCTGCCCATTTATACAGATCACTGTGGGTCATGTTAGCTTTACCTTGTCTGCCTGACCAGATGACAGCAAAAAATTCCAATTCTCAAATTTTCTGGAAAAAACCCACATCTCAGCTTCATTTGTTCCCAAATTTCAGTGCTGTATTCTTAGTGCCCTCCATCAAAATGGTTATTCTGGAGAGGCAGCAGCTGTTTCTTACCTGTGCTTCCCAGCAGATTTGATGTCTTTTTCTCATAGCGAGGTATGTAACCCCAGATGGGGGCAGAGAGCACCAACAAAAGTTCAAATCACCCCAGACTTTCAGTCCAAAGCACCACCAGACTCTGTTTTAAAATGATTCATGCCTTTTAAATCAGCTAGAAGGCCAGTCACTGGCCTCAGCTGCTGTTTCTGGAAGATACTATTTTGAAAGAATATAGGAGCTGAACCAG